ATATATATATATATATATATATATATATATATATATATATATATATATAGTGTATTGGCCATATAATACACATATATATACATACATTTGAGTTACATACATATAGCGGGATATGTACATAAAATATACAGCGAGAGAGAGAGAGAGCGAAAGTGAGTGGCTGTATGGTGCACTTGTATCTCGAGAAGCGCTTGATCTGTTGAGCTGGATTTGTTTACTATTGCTGCTGCTGTTGTCTGTGTTGTGTGTTTAGGCACTACCGGCATCCCTATGCAGCAGGACGCGGAGGAGTGTTTGAGTTGTTTAATGTCTGCAGTGTCAGAGAGTCTGGATAGCAACGCTGCAGCGAGTTTGCGCAAGTCTTTGGCCTATGTCCCGCTGACGGGGGGCTCTTCTTCAGCTTTAGATCTGCTGTTTGGGGTGCAGGTGGAGGTCACTTCAACCAGAAGCAGCACAGAAGGACAAAATGAACAGAGCAGCAACACCGTGCAAATAGAAAAACACCGAAAACTCACATGCTTCCTCGGAACCCCACAGAAACCCGCCAGTACACTCGAAGATAGCATCAAGTTCTCGCTAGGAGATGAAGTCGTACAGGTTGGCGGCAGGGGCAACGCAGCAGCAACTGCAGCAGCAACGGCGGGGGGACAAGCAGCAGCAGCCGAGGATACTCTTATTCGGTCCAACCGAATCAAAAGTCTAGCACTTTACCTCATTGTTCATTTTATGCGTTTTGAATGGAAAATTGGAGGCACGGAATCTGAAAAAGCCAAAATATGCCGCAGTGTAAAATTCGGACAAACCCTCGATATGTTCCCTTTCTGCACCAAAGTAAGCAGTTTTTGTTCGTTTAATGCATAATACAACAATTAGTTAGTTCATTCCGTTGTCAAGGATGTTCATTCATCAATGAATAGGGGTATCAGCGCTGTCCTGAGAGCGGGCGGAGCATCTTCTTGTTATTGTTGTTCAAATGGTGGCGCAGTGTGTCTTATTTATTACCTTTAGCATTCACTTCTAAAGAATAGGTACAGGAAGAGTTGATGCATAGACGCTGCTGTGTATCCTTGCATCAGCAGCTTTATTTGCATTA